CCGGAAGGAGCGAGCCCTCGATTCGCCGCCGCCCCCCACGCTGACATGCAGCGGCGGTGGCGGGGGCTCGCAAGGCGACGAGGAGGCGCACGCGTCGTCCTCGGCCGCCGAGGAGCTGTCCCCGGCCCCTTCCGAGAGCAGCAAAGCCTCGCCCGAGAAGGACTCCCTGGGTAAGCAGGGCGCGTCACGGGCCGCAGGCTGGCGGGCAGGCTGGCAGGCCTGCCCAGCGCAGGGCAGGAGCAGGAAGCCAGGAGTCCGCGCAGCAGCCGACCGGCCTTGGCCTGAGCTGCAGGCAGCCTGACCTTGTGAACTTGCTTTTTAATATTTGGGCGTGGGGACGCCGTAAAAATTCATGTCCAGCTTAGTGCCCCACACCAAGACGTCCTCTGCGCTGGCCTCAGCTCACCCCGGCTGGGGGCGAGGATCCCGGCGAGCAGCCCCCCTCTCGTGCCTGTCCTCCGTGGGCCGGAGCACCCTCACCCGTGGTCTGGGCCCCGGCTGCGAGGCGCGGCCCACGCGGGGGAGGGGAGGGAGGGAAAGAGGCTCGCCCGCAGATAGCACGGATGTTTGTAAGGCATCCAAAATAAGCAGCCGCCAGCACCAATAAATAAGCCCATTAACCGGCGAAGTTCGAGTTTACGATCCCCCATGCTTTTTTCAAAGTTGCTGCAGGGGCGGGAATCCTTGTTGCGGGTAGAAGAAAGGCAAATCCGGCCTGGGAGCCGGGGCCCTGAGCTGAGAGGCAGAGAGGGACCTTTTCGCTTCCCCTGGAACTCAGAGTCGCCCAGACTGCATGTCCCTGGCTCCTGGAGAGACGTGAGGGCAGCAGGCCCTTGACCCCAATCAGTTGTTTTTTTTTGTGCCTTCCCCAAGTCCCAACTATGTCGGTCTTCCTCTCCTCGCCAGGCCTTGGGCAAGGAGGGGGCTGCAGTGAGACACAGCTATGCTGCCCACCCCCCTACCAAGTAAGCACCCCGGACCCCAGGCTGGGGGGCTACAGGAAATGCTTGTATGTCTTGGGGCACAACTCAAAGAAAAAAATAAGGCATTAAGTTCAAGGTATACAGGCCTGTCCTCCCAGGCCCTTCGTTCTGCAAGCACCTGGCAGCTTTGTGCTAAAACAGGTGTTGGAAAGAAGTGGATGAAAATGTGAATTGGGAGGGTGGGTGTAGATTGGGGGCCCACTGGATTTTGCACGTTCCTTTTGGAGGAACTGCTCTTCCTGGGCAAGCAAGCTAACGGGGAGCGGGGAGCATACCTCTCTGTGTGTGACTTAGGGCATCCCTCTTGTGGAAGAGGCGGCCCAAATTCACCCTGGTAGTCAGCCCGCATTGCCTCGACTTAACCTTCTCCTCTTTATTCCCTTAAAATGCCAGGCAATACCAAAGGCGAAAACGCAGCCAACTGGCTCACGGCAAAGAGCGGCCGGAAGAAGCGCTGCCCCTACACGAAGCACCAGACGCTGGAGCTGGAGAAGGAGTTTCTGTTCAACATGTACCTTACTCGAGAGCGGCGCCTCGAGATCAGCCGCAGCGTCCACCTCACGGACAGACAAGTTAAAATCTGGTTTCAGAACCGCAGGATGAAACTGAAGAAAATGAACCGAGAAAACCGGATCCGGGAGCTGACAGCCAACTTTAATTTTTCCTGATGAAGCTCCAGGCAATGCCGTTTCGTTTTTGTTTGTTTTCCCCCCCTGCTTCCAGAGAGCCATTCTCCTCCCTCTGTCTTCGGCCTCTTCCCAGGAACTCGCACCTGTGCGGGCGCCCGTTCCTCCCTCCCACACTCGCCATTTCGCTGGCCATTACATCAGTGCAGGGCTGGTTTGTTCTGACGTTTTGTTTCTTTGTCTGTTTGCTAGGTGCTGGTTTTTTGTTGTTGTGTTCTGGGGGAAAAGCCATATCGCTCTAAAATCCTACGTAGATAAAGATTGTCCTAAGTGTCAAGTGCGAACTGGGATGGTTTGTCGTCTGGATGACTCCACTGCTCAAAATGGCCCCTGTGCTCCCGGTGGAGCTGGTTTCCTGCGGGGGGCCGGGCAAACCCAGCCGGAAGGCCAGGTCCCATTGTAGGCGCTGAGGTGTCTGGCCTGAGGTCAATGGTGCAAGGAGCCACCAGCAGGCTCCCGGGCCTGAAGTGTTGGGCTGTGTTTAATCAGGGGATCCAGGCCCTGGGTTTCTTTTCTCTTTCTTCCTTTCTTCCTTGGCAAAGAGAAGGGCTTATGGGCATGGGCATACAGGTTGACAAAAGGGCTTGACTTTGGCTGATTGGAACATGGAGGGAGTCAGGAAGATGAAATTTTCCTTCCTCTGTAAGATATCCCAGCTTTAAAAGAAAGAAAGAAAAAGAAGAAGAAGGAAAAAAAAAAAAAGACCAGGATAAGGAAACTCCTCTTCCAGTTTGTGTAAGGTCTTGCATTGTGGGACTAAATTATTTCCCCTTCCTCTGAATTTCCATATCCTCTGGCTATAGATAAATAATCTGATGTAGTTCTGTTTATACATGTGGATTTAGTGGGTTTTTGTCATAAAGTAATCGTTACCACTGGTAACACACGACAAGCACACCACACTCTCCCTATCTTGTGGAGGTTTGTCCCCCCCCTTTTTTTTTTCTTCCTTTTTTTTTTTTCTTTCCAAAATTCATGGAAGCCGAGGAGGGCTGGGGCAAGCGGAATAGACTAGAGAAGGGAGACATTGTTTGGTTTCCTTTATACTGTGAAGTTACATGCATAAAAGGGTCAAACCTGTAGGTGCAGAAAAAGAAAAAAAAAACTATAAATGCAAATCTGTATAAATGTCTATTATTATGAAAAATTGCCAATCTTGTTTTATGCAAATGCATTCTATCGTTATTATAAATGTTAGTTCTAGCTCTATTTACTTCTAATCTTAAATCAGAATAAATTAATATTGTAATGCTGCTGTGCGTGGAAAAAAAAGATGATGTTTATGTTCTTATAGAAGAATAAAGCTGTGGAATGAAGCTTTTTAATTTTACCTCTTTTTTTGCCTTCTTATCTTCACCTTCCACTTTATCCCGTCCACCACTTTTACAACAGGAGGACTAGCCCGCGCCCCCTGCAATTACTTTAGGCATCTATTTAAATATTACCTAGACAGTCGTAATTTGTCTGGGCCCTATAGCCCTGGTGCCGTAAGGTTTGTCGGCTTTTGTTCAGTTTTATGACTTGCTAGTATATCTGGATTGTGGCTGTCTTGGACCGGTGGTTTCAGTGGAGAGAGGAGCTTCATAGACAGAGGAAGCCAAACAGGATTTCTTTCGGGAGCCCCAGGGAGGCTCGCACAGGCTGGTTATTTTGTGGGTCCCCTGGTCCTAGATGACCCCCAGTCTAGGAATCCCGGGAGCAGGCTGGGCCCACAGCGCCTCACTAGCGTCCGAGGCAGCGATTAGGTAGACCGCGGCCGGGCTGCCTGGACCCCCCCCCTCCCCCAGCACAGCCTCCCCCACCTGGTCGCCCTCCGCGGGGCCACGCGTTTCCTGCTCGCGGGAGGTGGGGGGAGGCGACGGCAGGGGGGAGGGGGCGCGGGAGCGCGCGCCCCGGCTGGCTGCCTGGCTGGGAGGGAGAGAGGGGGAGAGCGAGCGGTGGGGAGCGAGCGCGGGAGGCCGAGACCAGACAGGGAGCCGGGCTCGGGGCTGTCCCTGGCGCTTGTGAGTCTCCCAGGGCTGCCGCCGCTCGGCGCCCGCTTGCTGAGCTGCAAGATTTGGGGAACCAGCGCGCACACTGCTCGCTCTCCTCGCTCTCTCCCCTCCTATTTTCCTCTCTCGCTGTTAACTTACTTCCCTCCCTCTCCAAGGTTTACCTTACAGGGGCCGGTGGCTTCTCCCTCCGTAATGCCTTAGCGGCAGCCCCGGACACTGGCAGCGGCGGGCGCAGGTTGGCGAGGGGCCGGGCCGGGTGCGATCGCAGGGTTCTCCCTTGGCGGCGGCGGCGGCGGCGGCTGCAGCGGCGGCGGCGGCGGCGTCGGTGGCGGCGGCGGGCAAGCACCAGAACTGGTCGGTGATTTAGGTAGTTTCCTGTTGTTGGGATCCACCTTTCTCTCGACAGCACGACACTGCCTTCATTACTTCAGTTGAAATCGTCTCCAGGTACCTGTGCGCGCGGAGGCCGGGCCGGGCGGGGCATCCAGGCTCCGGTCGTGCCAGGCCTGCGGTGGCAACCTCGGCTTTCCCCGCGCAAGAACCTCGTCCCTGCTTCCTTCTCAGAGCTCTGGCAGGCTGCTGGCCTCACCCCCATCTCCACCTGGCCCCTGCAGGTACGGTCAGGTTAGCTGAGCCTTAGCGGACGCCGGGGGCGTGGTAGGAATTCTGGGCCCGGGGCCATTCAAGGTCAGGGGCGCACACTTCCATCCCGAGCTTCTCCGGCTCCTGGCCCGTGCCTGGCCCGGGACCCCGCCATTCCCCTGCAAAGCCAGGGCAGCATCAGCCCCAATGCAGGGCAGGAAATAAGAAAAGATCCCTTTGCCAGTGAACACTCCTGACCAACTAGAACGGACAAGGCAGACGGGCTGGCATCCTGGCCCTGTCACTTACCCTTCTCTCTTGTAGCCGCTTTCCGCTCCCAGGAGTCGCCGTGGACTCTTTCCTTCCCTCTTTCCTCTTTCTTCTCTACCCTCTTTTCTTTACTTCGTCCCTTCTTTCCTTCCCTTTTCTTCAATTTTGTTTATTTTCTTTGATCTCTCTGTCCATTTCCCTCCCTATCTCCATTTCCTCTACCCCCCAGCTCTTCCTTCTGGAGGGACCTAGGGCTGGCTTGGGAAGAGCCAGGGTGGAGGCTGTCTTATTTTTTTTCCCCTCTCTGTGCACTCAAGTAGAGATCGTGTTCTGACAAGAAAGGGTTCGCTGGGGCGTCTGTCGCGGGCTGTGGATCTGAGCGCAGACACGGCCTCGGTTATGATCACGACCGGATGGCGGCGGCCTTGCGTTCCTACTCCGTCGGTCAGCAACAGCAGCCTGGGCGATCCGATGGGGGAGCATTCCCGAGGTTTTTGCAAGGAGGCCTTCGCCAGCTTCCCTGGAGGCCGGAGGCTGGGACCTGGGCTGAGGCCCAGCCAGGCTCTTGGAGGGCACTCTCCGGAAGCTTCCTGGGCTCTCGGGCCCTGCAGGTCTCAGCTCCGGCTTTAACCGCGATAAGGGGGCCTCGCCAGGGCAAAGACTGGCTGCTTGCTTGCCAGTAGCTTCTATCAGGTTCAGAGTCAGGGGATGTTGGATATGGCATCCTTGTGCAGAAGACCGCTGGAGAAAGGGACCCTTCTAGCAACCGTGTTTCAAATAATAGGGGAAAGGAATTCTAAATTCCTGAACCATTGGAATACAAAGTTGAGTCCATATTCCAAGTTGTGCTGGAAGCCAGGCGGAGGAGTCTCATTTTTACTGGGAGCTAAAAACAACCTCCATCCCTCTCCAGCCCCCCACTCGCACCGCACGTGGGGCCTTCAGACTGCTTCCATCCAGCAGTACTGCTCAGCTTTGGGCCCAGGCACTGTTTTCACTTCTTAGCCCCGGTTCTGGGTCCTGTTATCTGAAAGGACCACACGGTGTTACCCTCAACTCCTCTGTCATTTTCAGGACCCGAGTATTGGATTTGTTTTGGAGGCCAAGGTTTTAGAACTCTGGGCAAAAAAATAGTTTGTAACCACTCCCATTTATTCTTTCTTTATGCACACACAACCCCTTTTACTTCCAAAGTGAAAGCAGACACAAAAACCTGCATGGTCTCTCCTCAAACCTCTGGGCTGAGGAGGGATATTTTTGGTTTGGGGATCCTGCCCCCCATTTTAGGCACCAGTGAGGATCAGTTAACACTCAAGCCCTGCTAATTACTTAGTAGCTGTCCAATTTTGGGGGGCTAAGGCTATTTAAAGGACGGCCTTTCTATTTAAAAAATACTATAAATAATTCATGTCTTCTCTGGGTACAAAAAAAGTGGAAAAGGCAGCCCGTTTGCAGACAATTACAATTAGGAGCGAAGGTTTCCTCCGGGTTAATTTTCTTAATGAAAATCTCAGAGGTTCCCCAAACTGCGGGATATTTGGGGCACCTTGGGCTGTGGAGGGGATGGGAATAGCCCGGAGGACTTTATACGGGAAGGACAAATATTAGTGCGGGAGGGAACTGAGGTGGCCAGGACCCCCTGGCCAGTGGTAGGAGTTTATTGTGTTGGTCACTTCCCTCTTCCTTCTTCCGGAGAGGGACCCGGTTGGTCTCCCTGTGGCTTTTCAGCTGGGGGGAGAGCCTGACATTTGAAGGTCCCCATTGAGGGATAGGGGTGTATCAGGGTTTGGGGAGGGGTTACTGGGACTGTTGGGGAGATTGAAGGCAAAAAAACAAGAGATGGAAGCAGCCCAGTCCACCCGCCCGCCCTCGCCGCCAGGGAAGTGGGCTAATGAGAAACACACTCTTGCAGGCACAGTGTTCACACGTGAATTTAATTACCCCGTTTTTAGGAGTCGCTGCTTTCCGTTTGTATTTGGTGGGTTTTTTTCTTCTTTCCAATTAACAAAGAGGCTGAGGCCGTTTAATTTACCCCTGAAAGGCTCTGGGGGGTGAGAAGCACCCTCCTCAATCTGGCCAAGCTGAGGGATGGGATTAAAGTCAATGCCCCATGCCCCTCCTCGGTTAATTTCTGGCCCTGGCCTTGAGCTGTGGCCGCCTCACGTTGGGTCTTGTAACTCCGCTGAGCCGCCCGGCTGCGTGGGTTAGCCAGGCGGGCCGCCAGGGGCAGTGGCCAGGAAGGGAGGAAGGAAGGAAGGACAGAAGGAGGGGGCCTGAAGGATTCATACTGGGCCCGGAGGCCAGCCTCTCCCGAGCGGGCCTCCTGGCTACTGAGCCGCCAGGTCTCTTAGGCCGAATTCGCCTGTTATGCTGCCTCGCTGCCTCGTAGGGTTTTTTTTTTGTTTTTGTTTTTGTTTTTTTTTTTGTTTTTTTTGCAGCTCGGGTTAGGGGAGTGCGACTAGCAGAACTCAGCATTAGAGCCTCGGAGGTGGGAGCACGGGGCTGGGGCGCCAGCTGTGTCCAAGGGAAGGGGGGGTCATGGAACGCGCGGCCCCAGCAGGCCCCCAAACACTGGGCTCAGCGCTGGCTGGCTGCTCCCTGGTCGGACGCTCGCTGGAGACTCAGCGGTACATTGGGAGCTGCCTGGACACCCTGCGATCCGGTCAGGCCGACCCCAGGGGCCCTCCATAGGCTGTGTCCTCCGGGCGGCCTGTCCCTGGCCAGCGCGCCCGGCAGGGCCCGCGGCGGCTCCGTTTGGGACGCTACTGCGTTGAATTTGACTTTCTGAAGCCGTCCCGGGTAAACTCGCATCTCCGGGGACTGCGGGGGATTATTTACAGGGAGCCCGCCAACCAAACACAACAGTCTAATTTAACCTTTCCAAGTCCTCGTAAATTTTTACAACTGGGAGCCACGGCGAGGTAAACGAATCTGTTGGTCGTTCCCAACTTCCCACCAGCCTGTGTGGCTTCTGAAACAATAACTCCTTATGAAATATAAATATAGATTTAAATACAGTAGAGCGAGAATGCGATTTGGCTGCTTTTTTATGGCTTCAATTATTGTCTAATTTTATGTCGGGGGGCTCTGCCGGCCGCACTCGCACGCGGGGCCCGCGCCGGGCTGATGGCGTGATTAATTGTGATATAAAATAGTCCGCTGAAGAAGTGTGTGTCTGGTGGTGGCGGCGCGAAGGGGAGGGAGTCCAGACGCAAGGCCAGATTTGATCTTTTAATCTTCGTTGGCCACAATTAAAACAAACCCGATCGTTGAGCGCTGCGATCTCTTTGCATAAAAACATATGGCTTTTGCTATAAAAATTATGACTGCAAAACACCGGGCCATTAATAGCGTGCGGAGTGATTTACGCGTTATTGTTCTGCTGGGCGGCCACGTGACGCGCGTGGCCAATGGGGGCGCGGGCGCCGGCAACTTATTAGGTGACTGTACTTCCCTCCCCGGTGCCACCAAGTTGTTACATGAA